ATATCAGAAAAAAAATATTTAACTTTAAAAAGCCTCATAAATATGTCACTACTTATGTAGCAAATTTCGCTACGAATCATGTGGCTATATTGTAAAATGTTGTATAGTAGGGTTTGTTTTGAGCGTTATAATTAATAAACTAGTACTAGTGAAACATTATTTGAGCAAAAAGTGGTTTGACAGATATTTGAAAATGACTTTTCTACAGTTTATAATTATAATAAAACTAAGTGCTCTCCATAATTGTTCTCACGCATTTTTCTTCTTTTGATTTCTATATTACCTCGCACTTTGTGGATCTTGTCATCACTAGGGATAAATATAGTAAATTTTTAATATTATAAAATTTATATATTTACATCATCTATATTTCAGTTTCTAATTTTCGAATCTATATTACCCATATTTACTCTATCTCTCTCATTTTTTCTCTCTCTTCACCAATCCCAATACAATTAATATTAAAAATTCATATATTTATTCTAATTAGTCTCTTGGTACAATATACATATTCTAAGAATTCAAATCCAGCCAGTCATCACCATGAGTTTCCCATTGGATACTTGAAGAAATGAAGAATGAGGGTTTCCCATTGTTTCAAATCCTGAAAAACGGAAGCTGATATAAACCTGGCCATTAGAGAGGAAACCAGCAACATCTATGACAGTAGTGAACTCGTTTGGGAACAATTCTGGTTTGTTAACTCCTACTTTTGCTTCCGCAAGTCCCACGCCTGCAAAAATATTCAAACTTTTCTTGTGCTGTTGTACATTATTCATAACTGTTAAGCTTGGCACAGGCTTGACTTTGATTTGCCCAAAGAATTCAGCAACACACAATAAGAAGCTTGCAATTGATGTGCAAACAAATCTATTAGAGTATATAATAAAGTCTATCTTTGTGATTGTATAATTGATTTTTTTGGCTTTTCATTTTCTTGTAATAGCAAATACAAATGATATATATGGAATCAAGATTCCTACAAGCAAGGGAATTAGGAAAGATGGAAGATAAGGTTCCTAAAACATTAGGAGGACTTATTAACAACCGAATTATAACATAGATAATTAAAAAGTAAATGCTTCGTCACTTCCGGTCTGGAATTCTACCCCAATTCTATAACCGTCACTTTGGTTGCTCGTTTGATTCCTCGGCCACCAAAAACACCGGACTGAAAAGCTTCTGATAGGGAACATAATACAAACGTACGGAACCTGTAAAAATACTTGTATGGACAATGCTTGGGATACCCACAGACACTACAGAAAGGTCGAAACGTAACATGATTGGGCAGAACTTCAACGTGATCACCAGAGTAGTTCAACGTTAAATGGGGCTTCATATATAAGTCCTTCACAACCAAACATTGAATGTGTAAGGTGACACAACAGTACTCATCACACTTGTAAAACCGCTCTTCCGGTTTTACTTTTTCTTCGCAAACTTCACACCAAAGCGTCATGGTAATTGCCTCCTCCCCGTAAGAAAGAGTGAGCGTATGCTTATCATGCCTATACCTCACCTTATGAGGTAAAGTAGCACACCCAAAACACAAAGAAAAGTCGCACTCCTCCTCAATGCAATTGAATGTTTCACGCATGTAAGGATTTATTGAATGTGCGGAAGAATGTCTTGAATCCTTGCAAACCCCACAAGTTCTTTTCTCTCCTGGTTTGCATGTTAGAAATAAAGGTTGCATATGACTTTCATGGTCTAATGGCTCAGAAATTGTGGCGCACTGCACATGTACCGTAAAATCACACCGTCGCCGATTGCACTCATAGAAGAAACCAGTGCACAACCAACGACAAGCTGAACATGAGATATTAGCATCAATGACATCTCTATCATCTGTCACTAGAGTGAGCAGATGTGGATGTATCGGATTATATATTTTGCGAGAAAGATTTGCACATTTCTCGTGTAGAATGAAATCATCACATTGCAAACAGTAGTAGAAGTTACCGAAATAGATCGGCGTGACACATGCTTGACACAGCTTGTCCTCGTCGTAAACTCTGTCCGTGTTCTCATCAAGTCTTA